TCTTACAATGTAAATGCCACTCAATATTTATTACCAACACACTGGTCATGATATTACATAGGTAAGTATCCGTTTCACTAAGTGTTCCAGCATTGATATTTGCAAATTCACATTATTTTACAAATAAATCCTGTGACTATTACCATGTAATGATTATATTGTGAAGTAGTTTTTCTTGTATCACATTTACACTGGAATTAGGATGTTTTTGCTTACATATACATACACACTTTTGTAGGTAGGTTATATTAACTTTAAATATCATGTTAGGACTATAATAGTATAAAGTGGAAGTTTTGAATGTGGTAGCATGGAGAACTATTCTTACATTTGATATCAAATTGGAATAAGTGTCATTTTCAGAATTGTACATGGCTAGTTATAAAAACTGAAAAGTAATGCTAAGTCCAAGGTTTTTAGACCCCAAAAGGCATGCAATGATATCATACATTCTTCAACATGGCATAACAAGATAATTTATTTAGGCTCCACTGTGAAATTTCATCCTGATTCTCAATTTGGAATTTGAAAAGAGATGCAAAGAGTTCATGGTTCTGAGGGAGGTGTGACTGAGAAATAGTCAGAGAGATACAATGATGCTGGTTTTGAAGATGGAGAAGACATGACAAGGAATGTGGGCAACCTCTAGAAGCTGGAAAGACAAGGGAATGGATTCTTCTTTAGAACCTCCAGAAATAAACAGAACCCTGTCAGCATCTTTATTTCAGGACAACTGCACCCATGTTGTACTTCTAATCTACAGAACTGTAAAATAATATATCTGTGGTGTCTTAAGCCACTGAGTATGAGTTAATTTGTTACTGGGGCAATAGAAAACTAAAAGAATGGTGACCTGATTTTTGACAAGGGTGTCAAGATAACTCAGTGGCAAAAGATTAGTTTTTCAACAAATGGTGTTGAGATAACTGGCCATTCACCTGCAAATGAATGAAGTCAGACCCCCACCTGACACAATGAACAAAAATTCAAAATGGATCACAGAAAACTACAGAAATCTTAGAAGAAAACAGGGCAAATCTTCATGTGATTAGGTTAGGCAGTGGTATTTGAATAAGACACCTTCGAAAGCAAGAAAAGAATAAAAACAGAAATAGAATTTTATTAAATTAAAAACTTTGTATATCAAAGGAGACCATCAAGAAAGTAAAAAGATAATCCAGAGAATGGGAGAAAATATTTGCAAGTTATATACCTGATAAGGGGCTTTTGTCCAGAGTATAGAAGAATTCTTAAAATTCAATAATAAAAAGACAAAAACAACGAGTTAAAAGATGAGTCAGGGACATGAATAAACATTTCTTCAAAGAAGGTAAATAAATAACCAATAAGCACTTGAAAAGATGCTCAACATCATTGCTCATTAGAAGCTAAATCAAAGCCACAGTATTACATTACTGCATACCTACTAGAATTGCTAAAGTTAAAAAGACAATAACTTGTGGTGATGATAAGGAAAAATTGGGATCTCCATACTTTGCTAGTTGTGCTGAAAAATGGCACAACTAATTTGAAAGACACTTTGGCAGTTCCTCAATAGATCTACCATGTGACAGAACAATTCTTACTCAAGATCAGTTAAAAGGTATGTCTATCCAAAACTTGTCCAAGAACACTTATAGCAACTTTGTTCATAACTGCCAAGAAATAGAAACAACGAAATGTCCATTGACTGATTAATGCGGAAAGAAATAATGGTATATCCACGTAAACGAATGTTATTTAGCAATAGAAGGGAATGAAGTAATGATATAAGCTACAACATGGATAAAAAGAGTATTTTAGCAAGGTTTTTTTGTACAGAGAAATATGGTCTCAACATCCTGTCCTTGAAAATAAGAATGCTTCTTTTCTTCTGGCGTAGGAAGGGCAGCACTTATATGAAAGTTTTGTCTCCTGTTTTCAGGAAGAAAAGGGTACCTCAGAGTGTGCCTTTTTTATCTGCTATTTTTTTTTTTTAATGGCAGAGCTCACAACAGTCCTAAGCCAAAAACGCTTCTTTTGGGGTGGGATATTGTGCCACCTTTCAAATGTCACTAACTTCTAACCCACAGGGAGTTTCCCATTTCCCATGGGCTTTAAACAACTTGTCTGCTTGTAGCTGGGAAATGGGGAAGAGAATTTTTTTCCCCTCAGTATCTAAATTTAATTAGCATCACTCCTATTTTTTTGAACACAATTATACAATTTTATTTTCCTAACATCATCTAACATTAACTAAAAATATTTATGTGTTCATTTGCTCATTTATTATCTCTATCTCCCTTCTAAATAAAATTTCCATAGAATGTCAGCTGCACTGCTGTATTCCAGTACCTAGAAAGCACCTAGAGCTGAAAAATGTTTTCTTAAAAACTGAATAACTCACCATCAGCACTAAAGCTTCCCTATTAATAAATGCATTTTGTTGAAATGAGTATGTTGAGGCTCAGAAAATTCCCATAAGCTGCCCATGTCAGGCAAGATTTCTGCTCAGATCTCTCTTACTTTAATATCCATAGCCTTGAACACATCTCATGGGCCAATCACAGAGAATGGCCTCATTTGGTGTTGTTTGAGGGAATTAAACTCTTCACTCTTGCTTTTGTAGATGAGGTGTCTATAAGCCATGGAGAGGAGCAACCACACGGTGACAGAGTTCATCCTGCTGGGCTTCAGCACAGACCCCGTGACGCAGCGTGTCCTCTCTGTGGTATTCCTGGGCGTGTACTCTGTGACCGTGGTAGGAAATATCACCCTCATGGTGCTGACCTGCAGTGACTCCCGGCTGCACACGCCCATGTACTTTTTCATTGGGAATCTGTCTTTTCTGGATCTCTGGTATTCCTCTGTCTACACGCCTAAGATCCTAGTGATCTGCATCTCTGAGGACAGAAGCATCTCCTTTGCTGGCTGTGTGGCTCAGTTCTTCTTCTCTGCTGGGCTGGCGTACAGTGAGTGCTATCTTCTGGCTGCCATGGCGTATGACCGCTATGTGGCCATCTCTCAGCCGCTGCTTTATGCTCAGGCCATGTCAAAGAGGCTGTGCATCTGTTTGGTCATATATTCCTTTATTGGAGGTTTTGTTAACTCAATAATACTCACCAGCAACACATTCACATTGGATTTTTGTGGTGACAATGTCATTGATGACTTTTTCTGTGATGTCCCACCTCTTGTAAAGTTGGCATGTGATGTGAGAGAGTCCTACCAGGCTGTGCTCTTCTTCCTCCTGGCCTCCAATGTCATTGCCCCCTGTGTGCTCATCCTCGCCTCCTACCTCTTCATCATAGCCGCCGTCTTGAGGATCCGCTCCACCCAGGGCCGCCTCAAAGCCTTCTCCACATGCTCCTCCCACCTGGTCTCTGTCACCTTGTACTATGGCTCCATTCTCTACATCTACTCTCGCCCCAGTTCCAGCTATTCCCTTGAGAGGGACAAAATGGTGTCTACATTTTACACTGTGCTGTTCCCTATGTTGAACCCCATGATCTACAGCCTCAGGAATAAAGATGTGAAAGAAGCTCTGAAAAAACTCTTGAGGTTAGCAAAATCTGAAGTTTAAATTGACCTAAATTTCAGCGATCAGTGTGCAGGTGAAATGGCCTACTGCAAGAAACCCTTGGAAAACTGGATTTAAAAATACCTTTTTATTTGTATTTAAAGGAAATCAAATGAAAAAGATTTTGTTTCTTTGTATTAGTTTCTATTGCTACAGTGATTGAACCATAATTTATATATAAAAGATATATTTAATTTTATTTTTAAATAGTTCTTAGAAAGTAGTATCACAGTTTAATGGAAAATAGACAAATTCTGGATACCACAGAATTAAATGTTACTTTACTATCTCTCCCCTGAGATTGAACCAGTTTTTTCCTCCCCTACCTTATGGGCTTTATGGGAATATAAAGAATATATAATATAGGTTCTGGACATATGTAGATTGCATGCCTAATCCTTGTCCAGTCCTTACAGAACTTCTACGTAAATGGAAGAATAAGGCACATTAGAATATTGTGATGAAAAGAGAGAGGTTCTGATGTGTTATTTAATGAATGCAGATGAAAAAGAAGATCAGAATGTCAAAGTTAATACAAATGGCCAAGTGGCTACAACTATATGTTCTAAAATCTTAATTTAAATGCACTTTTTTAATGTGCTCATTACAATAGCACTTCTTCAATAACAGATTTGACTTCTGAGGCACAAGCTACTCCTTCATAAATTGTACCTAATTATCCTTAATTTGTAGGGCTGCTGTAAACACTTTTGTAAAAAATATCAAGTAAACCTGCCATGTACTAAGTATGAGATTTATGTTTCTTCATCCTTCAAATCTCCTGCTAAAAAAAAAGAAGTAGCTTTATTGGCTCTAGAACATGGTGGGTTTTGTTGGTTGGTATGTTCATTTCAGTTTGTTCCCCTTGGTGCAGATATTTTTCTTCATGGGAATAAGCGGTAGCATGAAGTGATGGAGAGAATGGCAGAGTGCTCATTCTCTGTGGACAGATGGCTCTTTCAGGGTGACACACAATTCTGGAGACACATTCTTCTCCAAGAATTTTGAAAGATACTGGATTGTTTGTGTAATCCACACAGTTGAAGCCTTTTGTTTCCAGCACTGGAACCATTCCAGATCTCTTCCATACTCAATAAAATCGGCTTGCCAAACTTCAAAGTCAAACTATGTGCACAAAATCATCTGATTCCTCCATTGTTTTCAGGGCTTCCCAATGACAATCAACAGGATACATAGTATGAAACTCTAGTTCTGAAAAGAAGCCAAATACAATCTTGTGGATTATCAAACCACCCAATATTATGGGTTTAAAGCAGTTTAATCACAACAAAGTAATTTAAAAAATTAAGAATGGTTTCTTCAATGTGTCATTGTTTTAAGAGTAAGTTGTATTTACTTAAAGTATAGCAATGTTTACAAACAGGTGTATAAGCCAATAATTTGGATAGTGCAGTCAGAACATTCTGCTGAAAGATCACATTCATCTCCGTGCCCTTATGGTCTGCGATGCTTTCCATAAGGCGTCCTTGACATCTTTGTTTCTCAGGCTATAGATGAGAGGGTTGAGCAATGGGTTAACAACAGTATAGAATAGGGAAGCTAATTTGTCTCTTCCTAGGGAGTAACTGGAACTTGGCCTTGAGTATGTGAAGAGCAAGGACCCATAGAAGAGCATGACAGAGATGAGGTGAGAAGCACAGGTAGAGAAGGCCTTGCGTCTTCCTGAGGCCGAGCGGATCCACAGGATAGCACGAAGGATGTTCACATAGGAAATCAGGATGGCGAGAATGCTGGAGAGAACTGTGAAGCCCACCATACCCAAGAGGACTTTTTCATATACATGAGTATCTGTACAGGACATTTTTACCAATGGTGGTACATCACAAAAGTAGTGGTCAATGATATTCTTACCACAGAAACTCAGGCGGAAAGTGTTGGCAGTATGGGCTATGGCATTCAAGAGCCCTCCTATGTAGGAGCCAGCAACGAGTGCAGTACAGAGAGAACTGGACATAACACTTGAATAAATTAGTGGGTTACAGATGGCGGCATGGCGGTCATACGCCATGGCCGCTAGGAGGTAACACTCAGTGTAGGCTACAACACAAGAAAAGAATAACTGGGCTCCACACCCGGCCAAGGAGATGCGCTTATCTTCTGAGATACAATTGGCCAGCATTTTGGGAGTATACACAGAAGTGTACCAAAAATCCAAGAAAGACAGATTGCCAATGAAAAAGTACATAGGTGTGTGCAGGCGGGAATCAATACGGATTAAGATAACCAGGGTCATGTTCCCCAACAAGGTTATCAAGTAGAGCATCAGAAATATTCCAAATAGAATCAGCTGCCACCAGGGATCTGCTGAGAAGCCCACCAAGATGAATTCGGTCAGGATAGTGAGATTTCCCACTTCCATATCCAAAGAGGAGAGAGCCTGATTAATGTTATGATAAAAACAACAATGAGTTAGTGATTTTTCTATTGAAATAAATTAAGGTGTCAATTAAGTTAGCAGTTCCTAGGAGACTTGTGGGCTTTTTTCCTTACTATCTAGAATTGTTGAACTTCAGTCTGTGACTTGGAAACTACCTGAATCAGAGTTGGAATCTTTTTTTGAAATTAGGGATTTAACATATTAATTGCTTAATGCAGGGTATGACCCTAATTCTCACCAGCTGGATGAGAAAAATGACACCCCCTGAGAAGTTGTCTGGTTGAGTTAAGATATGCATGAAAACACCATTCTAATGTTGGTATAGAGTGAGCTGTCAAAAATTTTGGTATCGTTCATATATTACTGAGAGTTTTTGTGTCTGGCATTGCACTAATAGTAGAAAACAAATAGTAATATACTAAACTCTTTGTACTTCTATTAGAACAAATAGAAATATACATTTATTAAATATATACTAAAATATATATTATGTGTTAAATGTACATATATTACTCATAAGCCAATAAGCATTATAAGTCTGAATCTTAACTCACTTAACCCTTTTGAATCTTAACAACTTCACAAGGTAGATACTATGATAATCTTCACAGAGTTTAAGAAAAATTCCAAGTTTACATAACTGGTCTAATAGCAGAGCTGGTATTTTATCCAGAATTTTCTTTATCAGCTGCCTATGGTCTCCACCACTCTGCCATTGATGTGCTTTATAGCTGAACTGTTTCCCTCTTGATCTTGCTAAGCAATGTTATAACCCTCTGACAACCTCAGTTTCTTTACCTATTGAAAAGAACTTAAAAAATATTTATTTTAAAAATGCATTGTTTTCTACTTTTCCAGTTGATCTGAGTTTATAAACATAATTGAGGCATTTTTTGATATAGTGGATGTTGAACATTAGAAGAACTTTACTTTGGCATCAAGAATTCCTTCAAAGTTCATATCTTGAAGCCCCAAGGCTCCCAGAGAGAAGCTAAAAGGTGGTATTTAATCTAAATGCATGGAATTAGGGCTGCTACATGAGTAGCTTCACCGTTGATGTGCCCTAACTATAAGGGCAGTGAGAGAAGGCTAAAACTAAGAGGAAATTGTGATTTATTGTGAAATTTAAAGCATTTATCTTTGAGCTAAGCCAGAGTCAATAATGCAGGTAGGATGCAAACCCGAGATGTCTACCTGGAGGTCTAGTGCTTCTGTTTGCTAGGAAGCAAGGTATGGGTGTCTTGAGTCCTTCACATGTAGCTAATGATGTTCAGAGAGGCCATAACTTAATGGTGACTGTGGTAAATGCATCTTGGGGTCCTAAAGATCATGCCATTTCTCTATCAGTAGACAACGGAGCTCTCCTCATTCACACACAAAGCACACCCAATGTTTACATCCAATGTTCCCTAAGCTGGCTTGAATTTATGCTTATAACCCTCTCTCTCACCACTGCTCTTCATCTATTTAGGATTTCCACCAAACTAAATTGCTCATCTTATTGATTCGTCCTTAATAACTTAAGCCAAAATGATGTCATCCTTCAGAATGTTTATAAAATCCTGCTGTTTAATATTTTTATTACTTACTCACATGCAATTGGACAAGAGTAACAGGCTTGGATGTTCAAAATTTGTTGATGAGTCCTGTAATAGAGACAGAGCCTGACACTAATCATCTATGTAATTTTTTTTAACTGAGAGAAAAGTGACACATCACCTGTGTGATTTTAAGGGCATAGCTGGAACACAACTCCACCTACATGAAAAATTTGGTTGATACATTTCTAGCACCCATCTTTTATATTTATAATTTGTTAAACTATTTTATAGAATTTCTCATAAATATAAGAACAGATAACTTACCTGCAACAATACAATGTGTAGAACAAATGAACAATCCATATGTATATATATGTATAATATTTTTATGGGGTGGACACAGGACATTATCATAATCTTGGCTGATGTCAGAGATGGGTTTTACCAAAGATAGCAGCATTCTTTCTATACTAAGATTTGCATACCCATACTTGTTTCATTACAAATCAAGCATGCAAGCTTATGTTCTTTCCTTAATTTCTTTATAGAGGAATAATTCATGGCTCTTACATTTTTTGAATCATGCACATCTTTGAAGACCTAATGAAAGCCATAACTTATTTCTCCAATTTCCAAAACTGCACATATGTATGAACACAACAATTTTAGAGGGTTGACAAATTCCCAAAAATCCATCCATAGATCTTGCAGTTATGATTCTTAGGTTAAAACTTCTACCACGAAAAGATGCTAACCACCATAGTTGCCAAGATTATTGCAGTGTCATTCTGACTGGTCTACACACTTGACCTCTAGAATCTATTATCAGTATATCAAATCGGTATGGTACTTAAAAAAATAAGCATTTCATACCACTCCTGTACTTTAAACAATGCTAAACGTGTTGCCAACTTATTCCAAATTAATTTCAAATTCCATACAATCGCCCAGAGGTCTTTAATGAGCAGGACATCCATCACCTACAAGTTCTTAGGCTCCTAAGACTTGTGCCCTCATTTATTCTCCTCCAGCGTAGCTGACATTTTCACTGTTTCAAAAAACAGCAGCATTTTTAGCATTAATTTCAAACTTTCTATCTATTCTTGTGCCTGAAACACTATTCCCCAGACATTTTCAAGGTTCACAGCATCATCTCCTTTAAGTCACTTTAAGTTCTAGCTATGGCCCATCCTCATCACTCCACTTTAAATTCCATGCCCTCTTGCCACCAACAATACCCATTCTTGTGATTCTGCTTAGACCCTGCTCTATTTTCCTCACATCTTAATGTCATCTTCTAAGTTTTCTTTATTGTGTTGATTGTCCATTTTTCTCTACCAGAATGCAATAACATAGGTCAGCAAGATTTCTCTCTTTTGCTTACTGCTATATCCCAGTGTATAGAATACTTCCTAACAACTAAGTAGCACTTAATAAATATTTCTAGAATGAATAAATGAGTAATTATCTTTATATCTTGAAGCTGGCTTTCTCAAAGTATTGTCTATTTCTAGCCTTATACAAACTATTCATGACAGATCTACACTGAGATAAACTTTCCTGGCTCAATGTGCTGTGCCACTAAGAAGGAGGAGTAAATAAAAGGGATAAACTCCTAACCAATGTCTCAAAGGCATCTTGAATTTGGAAGAAATTGCAAAAAGTTGAATGTGAAGTAAAAGACCCAGAAACAGGCAGAGCCAATCGTGCTCAAGTGTCCCATGGAGAAGGGCTTCTAAGGTGTGTGTTCCTTGTGGCTGTTCTGCTCCCAGCCCCGGCACTGCATTAAGAATTCATTTAAAATTCTGTGGAAGAATGTGTCCCTCTAGCACCTGAAAATGAGTAGCAACAAGTGAAAATATCACACACTCACAGTCTGGAGGGCAGGGAGGACCACAGCCACGAGAGTGAGAAAGTATGTGCCGGTCATAATGTTTTGGCTTCTTGATTTCTCCACTATGTGAGTGAACATATGATGCCCCCTCATAACTACCAGAGTGAGTGACAAATTCTAGAAGGTCACATGTATCATGAATAGGAACCATCTTTGGAAGTGCATGTTTGGCATAACAGTGATCCTCTGGGAGCCCAGCCAGACTCTGTGTCCTCATTCTAACAGCAGTTGAAGTCAGAGAGAAGCCCTCTTACATGCCCCTGATTCTGGTTGCTCACCCTTGATCAGGAAATATTGGAACTGACACTCTTTTCTTCTCTTCTGATGTTTTGCATGCTTAGTTGGACCTGATATGTATTTCTTCAAGAGCCCTTTGGGACTGCCTCCACAGAGCAGCCCAGAAATATGGATCTCAGTCTCCAAAGAACCAATTAGAGTTTTTGGAGTATGGGAATCATATATTAATTAAGATATGATGAAATAAGGAGTATTTCATTAACACTATGCTCTATGAAAAGATCTATAAAATTTTTCAGTGAGTCAGATAATAGAAACTGTCCAATTGGTATTAATTACACTTTTTCAGAATGTATCATTGTCCATACAGTGCGTCCTTGCCATATGCTCCTTTCTCTGCCCAGGCTACTCTTGCTTGTCTCATTCATCAGGAGACTCCTATCAGTCCAGGTTTGAACTGAACCCACCTAAAATTTGCATGTTGAAGCCTAACTCACTGTACTCAGAATGTGACCATATTTGGAGATAGGGCCTTTATAGAGGTGATTAAGTTAAAATGAGATGATGATTAAGGGCAGCCCTAATCCATTCTGCCTTGGAAGAAATGGAAATCTGGGCCCACAGGGAGACACCAGCTTAGTTTGTGCACAGAGGAGACACCATGTGCGGAGAAGGCAGGAGGGCGGCCATCTCAGGGAGGAAAAAGAGGCCTTAGAACAAATCAACACTAACGGCACCTTGATCTTGGCCTTTTAGCCTCCAGAACTGTGAGAAAATAAACTTGTGTTGTTCAGCCACCCGGTCTGTGATATTTTGTTATGGCAGCCCTAGCAAATGAGTCCACTTGGTTATCAACAGCAGGGCTTTTTATATTGGTGCAACCTCATGTTTTATAGGTACGAAGACTAAATTAGAAGTATGATACATCATTATGAAATGCTCTCTTAATTTTCTCTAATTCATACATAGAACTAAATAAGCAGAAATGCAAACATTCATAAACCCTTAGTTGTTATCAATCATAGCTTCACTGAGTAGAGATTTTCACTCTGAATATTCTCTTGGATGTAAAGCTCTTTGAACTCTGTCTCTCTCTCTACTTGTTTGTCTATTTCTATCTTCTTCTCCATTTCTGCCTCCTATAGCTGCTGTGCTTAGTCCTTGATTCCTTAGTTGTTGGGGAAAATAGTCCTTTATTAAAAGCTCACAGAGACTGTAAGTAAAGATATATGTTCTTTCTTCTTTCTATCGCCAAGGAAATCTTTATATCATGGTGGGCAAAAAATGAAAATAAGAAAAGAAAAATCTATTTGACATGTATAGATGTA